TTCGCCCTCGGTTTTTCTAGAGCATTTCTTTTTTTTTTTTTTTTGGAGAGGTTTTTGCTATAGGGCGCATGTTCTTGCCAGACAGAGAGAGACAGAGAGACAGAAAGTGAGAAATCATGCCCCAGGGGGGATGGCCATGCTGCAATCCCTTCTCCTCCATTTTCCTCTCAGGATCTTGGGCACGCACACACACATGCCCGGTGTGAGTTTTAAGCCACTGGGTCTGGGACGCGAACCGTGGTCGACTACGTGGGAGTCCAGCGACATAGCCATTACGCCAACTGCTGGTCCCCTAGAGCATTTCTTAAGTACAGACAGGTGAAACAACAGTTACTTCTATTTCGAAGAAGCCTTGGAAATGAAAGCCTGCAAGCATCCGCTCCGTCAGACACTCCTATCACTAGTTGCAGATCTGGGCCTTGCAGGCAAACTAACTAACTGGTTCCCTGGATGAGAGTAACCGCTGAGGAGTTTGCATTAATTCACAGCCATTTCACTGGTGACAGGGGTTGGAGGATCGTTCTTCCACCCTCCTCTCTTTCTTCCTTTCTACAACTTAGGCAATAATTGCTACCGGGCAGTACTAAGTACTTAGCTCACTGAAGAAACCAAACAGCTGTCAGACTGAAATAACATTCGATTACTGCTGACTGAGTCCACGGCCAAAAAAGAGATCTAGTGGCAGTTAAAAGGCTCTGTCACGTCTTAATCCCTGAAATTAGTTAGCAACTAATTTCAGAGGTACAAACAGGTGTACCAAAATATTGATATTGTACTTCTTCCAATGGTATGCCCAGATCTCTCTGGGAAGGCAGTAAAAGATGTCATATAATTTCTTTTTGTTTATTTATAAGCCAGAGTGCATATGTGCTTACCCTAGAGAGACAGCAAGAGTGGGGGTGAGGGTCCCCAATGGGGTGTGGTCGTGTCGCAGTCCCTTTTCCATTTCTCTATCCTGCCAGGATTTGGAGCATATATGCACATGCATGCAGTGTTTTCAAGCCACTGGGGCTGGGATTCAAACTGCACGGTCAGTCATGTAGGATCCCTTAACCACCAGGTCACAGGCCCAGCCCTCTAAATTTTAATTAGGGGTAGCCCTGCTCCTCTGTTTTGATTGACAATAATGTTCCTTTTCTTGGGACCTGCTCCAGAGAGGCTCCAGTTTTTGAGCAAAACTCACAAAGTCAGTCCCTGGTTATTTACTAGGAAAAGTTCTCTGCATAAAAACTGAAAAGAAAAAAAAAAGAGGTTTGCACCATAAGGTGCACGCACTTGCCCGGGAGAGAGAAAGAGACAGAGAATGAAAGTGAGAAACACGCCCCCCGATCGGGGGGGGGGGGTGGTGGTGGTCACACTGATGCATCCCTTCCTTCATTCTCCTCTGGGATTTTGGGCATGCAGATTTATGTGCCTGGCATGATTTTCAAGCCTCCAGGTCCAAGGATCCAGCTACAGTTGGCCATGTGGGAGTCCAGCCTCCTTAAACCACAACGCCACCTACTGGCTCCAAAATCTTTCTATTCTTAAGAAATCCTAAATAAAATTCACGTGTTCCTTAATATCAAGACAAGGCTTTCCTTTGTTTCTTCCTTCTTTCCTTTCTTTTTTTTGACATACAGCACATGTGCTCACTGGAGAGAGACATGGAGAGGGAACGTGAGCAATCACCCCCCAAGGGGGTTGCCCATGTCGCAATCCTTTCTCCATTCTCTTCCTGGATTTCGAGCATGCATGCACATGCATGCCACCAGGTCCAGTATTTAAATCATGCTCAGCCATGTGAGAATCCAGCACCTTAAACACTATGCCACCTACTGAATGGCTCCAACACAAGTCTTTTAACACTCATTCAGTAAGAAATCTACGTTGGAAATCTGCTAAATGAAATTTTAAATCAACAGAAACTTCCTACTAATGCTTTTTTTTAAATCCTCCCAATCATTAAAACAGAAAAGAAAATGAAAAGGAAATGGAAAAGCACTAAACAAGGTACAGCTGACATTCTCATAGTTAGCTCTTTTTTCCCTCACTTAATTACATGAAGCTGAGATTTTTTTTTAATTGCCTAGAAAATTGCCTTCCTTTGGTGCTCTTGTTTATGAACAGAAATCTGCTACTAACAACGTATGCTTGCAATTATTCAAGGCAACATCACTGACAGGTATACAGCCTCTTCAAATACTGGTGTCAGAGATGACTTCTCCTGAGACCATCGGAGAGGATTTCTGGCCACACTGGGGAGGCCTGAGGTATCTGATGAATATGTCAGATCGACCGACAGGCTGTAACCAACCAATAAGCTCCCAGGCCCTGGGCAGAGCTGTGGATAGCGTGCTATCTGGTATGCAACAACGTCACCTGCAAAGCTGAGCTGTCAGTTTACTGTTAATCCCTTCTCCTACATGTCCTCATCCTGCCAAGACTTTGGGCACACATGCACATGTGCCCAGTGGAGTTTTCGAGTCACTGGGTCTAGGACTCGAACTGTGGTTCCCTTAACCACTACACTGTGGGACCAACTCCATATTGTACAATTCTAGAAGAATTTTAAAACAACTCTTATCTCTCCTAAGTATATAATCACAAATATAGAAATTAAAAACAATGTTTACTAAATCCATCATCAGGGTCTGGCAGGTGGCATGGTGGTTAAGGGTGCTAGACTCCTACATGGCCGACTGCAGTTCGAGTCCCAGGTCTGGCAGCTTGTTTCTCACTTTCTCTTTCTCTCACTCTGTCCCTCTCTGGTCAAATTAAGATAAATAAATAAAGTTTAAAAAAGCCTACTATCACAATTAGTTATTTTTACTGTTTTGTGTATTTTTTAGTCTTTATGTGTATATTTAATACAAACTTGAAAACACCAGTGGCTCCACTGTTATTTACTAAATATTTCTTTTATTAAATGTTGATTTTTATTTTTTTTTTTTGAGAGACTTTTGCTATAGGGCATGTGTGCTTGCCAGAAAGACAGAGAGAGACAGAGAGAGAGAAAGCAGGAAATCACCCCCCAGGGGGAATGGCCACTCTGTAATCACTTTTCCATTTTCCTCTTGGGATTTTGGGCATGCACTGGTGAGTTTCAAGTTGCCAAGTCTGGAACTTGAATAGTGGTTGACTATATGGGAGTCCAGTGATGTAACCATTATGCCATCTGCTGGTCCCTGGATATAAGTTTATTGTTTTTTATTGTCAGAGGGTCTTACCAGACAGAGGAAAGAGAAAGCACCCTCCAGTGGGGCATGGTCACACTAATCCTTTTTCTTCCATTTCTACATTTTGGGCATGCAGACATATTCGTCTGTGTGTTTTTCAAGCTGCCAGGGCTGGGGCTCAAACCATGCTCAGCCATGGAGGAGCTGATTCCTTATGCACAGAGCTTCACCACTACACTACCGGGCCAACCCAAGGTGTTAATTTAATAAATGTAAAGTAATTTACATATAATAAAATAAATTATGATAAAATATATGCATATGCATACCTTATCTGCCCCATCGGACATTAAATCCTTTAGGGACAAACACTTTAATTTTTTTCATATAAATTCTGCTGCCTATGGCACTGCTAGGCACCCTACAGAACACAAAACATATCTGTTGATTATTCTTTATGAGCAGCAAAACCCTAACATTTTTAGCCAGCATATACTACTAAAGTGAGCACATCATGTTTTAAAAATCCCCAGAATCATTCTGTCTCCCTAAATTTGGGAGAGGGTAAAGTACCTTTGCATGAATCACACAAAAACAGGGTTTTTTTGTTTGTTTTTTGACAGGGTTTTGCCAGGCGGTGCGCTCGCCAGAAAGACAGAGAGAGACAGAGAAACAGAAAGTGAGAAATCACCCCCCAGGTGGGATGGCCATGCGGCAATCCCTTCTCCTCCATTCTCTTCTCAGGATCTTGGGCACGCACGCACACACACCCGGCGTGAGCTTAAGCCACCGGGTCTGGGACTCGAACCGTGGTCGACTACATGGGAGCCCAGTGACATAGCCATTACACTAACTGCTGGCCCCGAAAACAATTTTTAAACACACAACTTTTAAAGTTTCTATCGTGACATCTTTCTAAATCATACTTCGATACTCTTGTGCTTCACAGAACGGATGCAAAAAACTTTGTTCACCTACCAAGCTTGGCTTTCAATCCACTGGGATAAATAATGCCGCACCTCAATGGGGAAGTGCTGACCATATAACGCTTGCATCTGATGAAGGGCTTCCCCCTGGAGCTGCTGAGCTTGAATCCACACCGCCATGGTTCACAACCTGTTAAACAAACAATGCTTTAGGTGGTTTTCTTTCTTTTTAGTTAGCTATCGGGTGCATGTGCTCACCAGAGACAGAGAGACAGAGAAAGAAAGAGAGAAATCATCCCCAAGGGAGATGGCTATGTTGCAATCTGGTCTTCTCCATTTTGTTTCAAGATTTGGGGTAAGCTCACACTCATACCCACAGCGTTTCTCTCTCTCTCTTTTTTAAAGACTCATTTTATTTAACTATACTTATTTATTTAATTTTGATCAGAGAGAGACAGAGTAAGAACAAGAGAGAAAGTAAGCAAGCAAGCCGCCAGGTCCAGGACTTGAGTCGCGGTCAGCTATGTGGGAGTCCGGCGCCCTTAACTACCGCGCTACCTGCCGGCCCCACCCCCAGAGCATTTCTCAACCCACCAGTTCTGGTACTCGAATTCCACAGTCAGTCTTGTTGCCTTATCCACCAGCTAGCTTCCTCTTTATTATTTTTAAATTTCTCTTTTGAATTTACTAGAGTAACAATCCACACATTACAAAAGTGAGTGTGTTTAGGCCTTTTGGTAGAGTGCAGATCAGTATTCTCCTCCCCCAGTTCATTTATTTATTCTGTCTTCCATGACAGACAGGAACCCCCACTGCCAGCCCAGATCACTGGTTTGCATACACAGACCTGGTGAACTCTGAGAGGTCAGGAACCCAGGACCCGTCCTTGTGGGTCTAGTTGACACTAGACTGGCACTACCACCTGGCCAGGTGAGTATTCTTGAACTGAATTTTAGCTTTAAAATGTTTTCAAAATGTAGCCATTCGGTGTGACCCTGGGACGGTACACAACGTGGTCTATGAAGGTGTGTGACTATAAAATGGACCGAAGTCCTGCAAGCAAAACTACAAAACCAGCTTTCGGGGAGAGAACTGCTGACAGTTTCGCTATTGTAGACATATTCTTCACTTTTGTTCAAAACTGTCAGCAATGGTAAGCAACATTTCAACACTAATAATAAGTCATTACCAGAGGGATTTTTTGTTAAAGAAATATCACTTGTTTTAGATTTGGTATTTTGCCTTAAAAAAAAGAAAAAGTAATAAACACACAGGCATTTTGAAAGAGAGCCCAGGAAAAGAAAAGTAAAAATATCTAAAGCATGGATTGGACCTATGTAGTATCACTAGTTACTTAAACAGCAATGCTCTGTACACAAAGAACAGATTTATCTGGAAAAATATCCCAAGGTTCACTTTCTGACTTACTGCTAAGGAATTTATGAAGCAACGTTCTGCTAAATTATAGCATTTAAAATTCTTTCAGACACAAAAACAATGCATTGCAAGTAAGAGTTAGGAACAAGAACCACTATATTCTGGTAGAAGGGAGGTTTTGTTTTGTTTTGTTTTGTTTTTGAGAGGTTTTCGCTATAGGGCACGTGCGCTCGCCAGACAGACAGAGAGAGACAGAGAGACAGAAAGCAAGAAATCACCCCCCAGGGGGGGATGGCCATGCCACAATCCCTTCTCCTCCGTTCTCCTCTTGGGATCTTGGGCATGCCCGGCGTGAGTTTTAAGCCACCAGGTCTGGGACCGAAAGCGCAGTCGACTACGTGGGAGTCCAGCGACATAGCAATTACGCTAACTGCTGGTCCCGAAGGGAGGTTTTTAAAACCCGCTCTTGATTTCAGAAAAGCGATCTTACAGAACTACCACGATGCCGTCTCAGACTCACCTGAGAATGTGTAAGTCATTCGCAAGAGACCCTCCAGGATTATTAACCGGATTGAGGTGGCAATGTTCCTTCAGGAAACTGAAGGGACTAAAATGAATCTCGCTCTAACACTGTTTTCTGGAACGTGGAATTCGGTAAGAGGCAGGGCTACCTTAAATTCCATTCACACGACCTGGCTACCGATTTGCACAATTCTCCTAAGAACGAAGTTACCGTGAGGGCCCAGTGAATGGGACCTGGATGTTGCTGCCTAGCAGAGACTGTGCACGTGTGTTAGGAAACAACCCTCTCCTGCTAGTTGTAGTTCTCTGATCACGTAATGCCAAGCTATTTATGGAACAAGTCAGTTAGCCAACAAGGAGGTGTGGGGTGAGTGCCAGTTACCTATTTTAGATTTGTGCAGTGCTCAGGACACTTGAACAGTGTACGATTTTATTTAGGGTTTTTAGGCCTTGAGTAATCACTGTAAGATTACCCAGAGACATCCGACTTCAATGACTATGAGTTCACAAGGAGAAAGACATGGACAAAAGCACTCTCTCCAGAAGCAGCTCCACTTTATAATCAAGCACCTGGGAGATATTTAATTGGATATATTTTTGATCAAATACATCATATCCCCCAATTTTGGAAAATCAGAATAGATTCCAAATCATAATTTTGAAATGACAGAAAAAAGAATGCATGAAGGTGCAGACACACATAAGAATATGGAAGAAAGATCCAGAAATGAAGAGCTCAGGTATTCATCTTGCTCAGTGGTAAAGAGAGAGAGAAATTGGACCTCCCCACAGTTCTTTCCATGACTGTGTGAACAGTTGACCCAGAGAGAACAAAAAGTCTCTCTGATCTGCAATCATTAGCCAAGCTGACCTAAGAGAAAAAAGAAGGAAAACCGTGGGGAAACTTTTATTTTCCCACTCCACATGAATAAAATAATATTCTGGCCACTCTTAAACCTCTTAATCTGCTTTATTTTGTTCCTTATCATTATCACTTCCTGAAATTTATCCCATTTTGCCTACTGACTTTCCAGTAGGGTGAAATCTCCCCAAACACAATGACTTGTTTTGTTCACTGCTTTGTCCTGAGCCTAGAACAGAGCCTAGAACAGGGTATAAGCATCACTAACATTTTTTCACATAAATAATTGTATGCGTACAAGTTGTTTCCTCTTTAGGATTTTAACATTTCTCTTTTAAATTTAGTAGAGTAACAATTCACGCATTACAAAAGTAACAATTTAGATTGGCTAAATCTATCTGCTCTTTTCTTTTTAAATAATTATTTAATTTTATTTATCATTATCATTTTTTAAAAAATTTGCTATAGGGCACATGTGCTCACCAGAGGGAGACTGAAAAATAGAGAGAGAGAGAGAGAGAGAGAGAGAGAGAGAGAGAGAGAGAGAGAATGCGCAAAAGCAAGCCACCCGGTCTGGGACTCGAACCACAGCCAACCATGTGGAAGTCCAGTGCCCCAACCACACCATCTACTGACCCCTCTGCTCTCTTCTTTTTTTTTTTTTGGAGAGGTTTTTGCTATAGGGTGCGTGTGCTCACCAGAAAGACAGAGAGAGACAGAGATAGAAAGCGAGAAATCACCCCCTGGGGGGGATGGCCAGACTACAATCTCTTCTCCTTCATTCTCCTCTTGGGATCTTGGGCACGCATGCACACGTGCCCGGCACGAGTTTAAGCCACCGGTCCGGGACTTGAACCACTGTCAGCTTTATGGGAGTTCAGCTACATAGCCATTACGCTAACTGCTGGTTCCCCCTCTGTTCTTTTCAATGTTATTATGGAACCAATGTAGCTGTATGAAATACCAAGTCATGAAAATGAAACATATTTTACTTTAATTGGTCAATTAACGATTTCATAATTTGGGCGACTCTGTTCCTTAATAACAAATGCCATGGGGCTGGCAGGTGGCGCGACGGTAAAGGTAGTGGTCATGGCTGACTGCGGTTTGAGTCCTAAATCTAGTGGCTTGCTTTCTCATTTTCCCTTTCTCTCTCTCTCTCTTTGGTCAAATTAAAAAATAATAAATAAAATAAGCAATTCTTTTTTAAAAAAAAGCCACAATTTGCCATTTCTGCTTTTAGTTTTGTTTGTTTTTGTCTAGCTTACTCATTGAACTCTAAGAGCAGTTGGTGGAGGGGAGCATGTCTGACTCACGACTATGTCCCCAGGGCCTCGTTCGGTGGCTTGCCTGAGGAAACTGGTCAGCAATATTGGTTGAGTGAATAAATGCATAAATAAATAACTCGCATGTCCTACTGGCCAAGCACATTATAAGAATCTGTTATTATTTTAAGAATATAATAACATGGTAGGGAACCAGCAGTTAGCGTAATGGCTATGTTGCTGGACTCCCACGTAGTCGACCGCGGTTCGCGTCCTGGATCCGGTGGCTTAAAACTCATGCCGGGCGCATGTGCGTGTGTGCCCAAGATCCTGAGAGGAGAATGGAAGAGAAGGGATTGCGGCGTGACCATCCCCCCTGGGGGGTGATTGCTTGCTTTCTGTCTCTATGTCTCTCTCTGTCTGCCTGGTGAGCGCAAGCGCCCTATAGCGATAAAAACCTCTCCAAAAAAAAAAAAAAAGAATATAACAACATGGTGATATGCCATACATGTAGGGGTAATTACATAAATGTCAATATTTTGTCTCAGATTTTACATTAAATCTTGGTTTTTATCGAAGAGTGGAATGCAGAGCTTTTAGAATCAGAATATTTTTATGATTCTAATTATGAATAAGCCACAATAGTTAACTTTCTAAAATGGCATAGCATTTGGAGGATAATAGCTGGTAATTATAAGGTAGTGACTACCTTATTTTTTGATAAATACAATATGGTTTCAACACATAAAAGTGCTTTGCTATTGGTTTTCCTTACTACCACTTAGAAATTTAAAATAGCGGGACCAGCAGTTAGCGTAATGGCTATGTCGCTGGACTCCCATGTAGTCGACCACGGTTCGAGTCCCGGACCCAGTGGCGTAAAACTCACGCCGGGCGCGTGTGCATGCATGCCCAAGATCCCGAGAGGAGAATGGAGGAGAAGGGACTGCAGTGTGGCCATCCCCCCCGGGGGGGGATTTTCTGCTTTTGGTCTCTCTGTCTCTCTCTGTCTGGCGAATGCACACACCCTATAGCAAAAAACTCTCAAAAAACAAAAAAAGAAATTTAAAATACAAGTACACTGTACAGATTTTTTTTAAATCCCGGAGGCACGAGAGAGAGAGAGAGAGAGAGAGAGAGAGAGAGCGCACAGTCCTCCCCATAGGGTGAGGTCATGCTGCAATTTCTTTCCTAGGTTTCTCCATACTGGCGGGATCCTGGGCACACATGACATATGTCTGATGTGTTTTTTAAGCCACTAGGGGCTGGGATTTGAACCTCAGTCAGCCTTGTGGGAGCTGGCTCCCTCTACAAGGCAGTAAACTGCTGTGCTACAGGGCCAGCCCCATTCTTATCTTACTTTTAAACCAAGAATTTTTTTAAAGAATTATTTTATTTAACTTTATTTATTTTTAATTTGACCAGAGAAGAACAGAGTGAGAGAGAGAGAGAGAGAAACAGAGAGAGAGAGAGAGAGAGAAAGTTAAAAAGCAACTTGCTAGGTTCAGGACTCGAACCACGGTTGGCCATGTGGGAGTCCAGCACCCTTAACCACCATGCCACTTGCCAGCCCCTAAACTATGAATTATGTACATATGGAATAGGAGATGACTCATGGGATTACCATGTTAACAATTTTCAGTACACAGTTTAGAAAACAACTTTTGTCCCCAAATTATATAAGACCTAGAATCTAAGTAGTGTTTTTCCTTATACACCCCCGAACCCCTCACACCTGCTGTAGACCATATCCATCCCTGGCGTAACTGACTCCAGGTCCCCTCCTCGCTGGTGTTTTCCAGCCTTCAGCTGCTACTCCATGCACACAGCGAGCACCTCTGTCCCCACGACCAGCTCTCTCTTCTGCTTACTTAAGGCAGTCCGTCCTTAGGGTGTGATGTTCTGACCAGGGACGTGGTTTCTATCCTCGGTAAATCATCACAGGGGCTTCTCTAAAGACCAGGAAATGGATTCACAATCTTAGTTTTAGGCCAAAGATGAGAACTATTTGAACTCTGCTTTGCTGTACTCTCAGTGTTCACGAGCATTCCAAAATGACCTAAAGCAGCCTTGGATACAGAACATCGCACTTTGTGGGAACCAGAGGTCTCGCCATTGACCTTACCCATCTGTGCCCACCCATCCGAGGGCTGGGAGTGACAGGTAAACAGGCCCCTCTGGAGAGTGTTACAAGTTCCGAAGTCTTCTGTTGTGGTCCGATCTTCTCGATTAAATTCTGGGACAATGCTCAGGGAATGAATGTAAATTAATTAATTAATTTTTAAAAAGTTTCAAAGTCGAATAGCTTACAATGTTATAAGCTTATTGAAAGTCCTAAAAAATGAAATGTCTACATAAATAAGTGATACAAGTAGGTGGGATTTATGAATAATTTTATCTCAATAAATACCATTTTTTATCAGATATGATTCCTTTTTTTTTTTTTAGAGGTTTTTGCTATAGTGCACGTGTGCTTGCCAGACAGACAGACAGAGAGATAGAAAGCGAGAAATCACCCCCCAGGGGGGATGACCACACTGATATCCCTTCTCCTCCATTCTCCTCTTGGGATCTTGGGCACGCATGCACACATGCCCAGTGTGAGTTTAAGCCACTGGGTCCGGGACTCGAACTGCGGTCGACTACGTGGGAGTCCAGCAACATAGCCATTACACTGACTGCTGGTCCCCAGATATGATTCCTTTTTTAAATAAAATATAAAACTGGCCCTGTAGAGCAGCAGTTAAGGGCTGTTCATCGGGAGCTGAATCTCACATGACCAACCATTGATCGAATCCTGGCCCCAGTAGCTTGAAAATCATGCCAGCTATGTATGTGTGTGTGTGTGCCCAAAATCCTAATGGGAGGGAGAAATGGAGAAAATTAGCTGAGATGTGACCGCACCCCATGGGGGGTGCTTGCTTTTTCTCTCTCCTCTCCCCTCTCTCTTTCTAAAGGAAGAAAACTATTTAACCACTTACACCTCTCTGTGACTCCATCTTCTCAATTGTAAAATGGGAATAATAATACTTAAAATACTCAGAGAGCTGCTGTAAGAATGAGTTAATATGTGTAAATATTTAAAACAGTACCTGGCTCATAATCACTGTTCTGCAAGTGCTTACTAGTATTCTTCCTTTGACCTTAAATTTACAGAAGTGATTTCCTTCTCCCCATCTACAATTTTAACTCAGTTTAATAAAATTTCCTTCCAAAGTCAATCCTTCACAAATACCACTTTTTAAGAAAAAGAGGTTTTTGTCAAAGGGCGCATGCACTTGCTGGAGAGAGAAGATAGAGACAGACAGACATAGAGAGAGAGAGAAAACGAGAAATCACCCCTCCAGGGGGGATGGCCACACCGCAATCCCCTCTCCTTTTTCTTCTCCAGATCTTGGGCGCATAGAAGCACGCACACGAGCCCAGTGTGTTTCCAGCTGCCGGGTCCAGGACTCCAATTTTGATCTGCGATGTGGGAGTTCAGCGCCTTAACCACTACTTACCTGCTGGCCCCCACAAACAGCATTTTCTATTTTTCGTTACCTGAAGTACAAACGTCTTCCTTTGGGAAGATGTTACTCCTGTTTCTCAGTCAATTTCACTGACCCAGGGACTCTTGTGGATGAGAGCTACTGGGAAAGGCACAGTGAGCTCTGCTCTCTTACCTCTGAATGAAAGAACTGAGAGTTGTGGCGTGAAGTAACGAGAGCAAGATTTGTCATATATGAACTGAAAACAAAACAAAACAAAACAAAAACACCATCACTCGGACAGACAACCAAGCCAGCAGGGAGTTATGCCTATACCTAATCCTTCCAAAGATACAACCTGACTCCTATTAATTAAAGGACAAAGACACCTAATAAAATTTGAAACCTTCGTTTATTATCCTCCTTTATGAATTATAAGTATTTTGATTCATTCAATAAAAGTAAACCAGAAACAGTAAGGTTGAGAATGCATTAAAACTGCCTTTACTAGTGTTACTGTTATCACCCATCATCCAAATTTACAAGCTCACATTTACTGAGTACTTACTATATAATTCGAACAAGTTCTTTAATGAATCTACTCACTTAATCCCCACCCTAGAAGGTAGGTCTATTATTATTTATAGATGAGAAAATTGAGGTTCAGAGCAAGATTCAATCGGATTGTAAAATGGTGTATGATCTTTGCAAAACAATCTGGTAGCTCTTCAGAAGGTTAAACAGAGAATAGCTGTATGATCCCGGAGTTCCACTTTGGGTATATGCTTACGAGGGTTAAACACAGGTGCATAAGAAAACTGGTATACAAATGTTCATAGCATCATTCACAATAGACAAGAAAAAGGAACACCCCAAATGTCTATCAATGGATACATGAATAACAGGGGTGTGAACAGATGCCGATAGATAAAATAGATGATTAGAATATCATTCAGACACTCGAAAGGAATGAAGTATTACACATGCTACAACGTGGATGAAGAACCTTGAAAACACTATGTGAATTAAAAGAAATCAGGCATAAAATGTCACAGGTTGTAAACTCCACTTATATAAAACGTCTACAATGGAAAATCCATAGAGACAGAAAAAAGACTGGTGGTTGCCAAGGGCTGAGAGGGTGGGGTGGGGGGAGAGTGAGCAGTAACTGCCAGTGGTTTTTTTTGTGTGTGTGTTTTTGTTGGGAGGAGTGATGAAAAGGTTCTGGAATTGAGAACTGAAATGGTTGTACAACTCTGAGTATATACCCCAAACCACTAAATGGTACACTGTTTAATGGCTGCATTTTATAGTATGTGGTCATATTTGACTCAAGCTATTACGAAGGCAGAGAGGAGAAATACTTGGCCGAGGTCCCATACCACTAAGGGGCACCGTCTGGGCGGATCTTCCTCACGGCCCGCCCTCCCCCTGCCGTACCATGTGCCTGTGTCTTGAGGTCTTGTGGTGGTTTGTCCTGCTACTCTATACTCTTCCATGTGTTTGCCTTATTTCATAAATTAAAGAGAGAAAAGAATAAGAATTTGGGATGAACAGCCTAACACTGAGAGGCGTGATGCTGGCAGAGGACAGGGCTAGCTGGCAGATGAAACAGGCGATGTACACACATTGCTCCTGGTCTGAAAGAAGAGGGCCAGGAGCCAGAACTGAGAACTGTTAAGCACGTCAGTACCAATCAATGACAAAAGGACTTGGGATAGAATGTGAGGAGTAAGCTTCCTGGCTATGTTAACTGTTTTACTGTCAACACCAACATTACCATCATGATTATTTGAAGAGGTATTTTTGCTATAGAGCATGCACGCACACCAGAGAAACAGAAGTGAAAAATCACTCCCCGGGGGGATGGCCATGCCACAATCCTTTCTCTTCCTCCTTTCAGGATTTTGGGCACACACACATGTGCCCAGCGTGAGTTTTAAGCTGTTGGGTCCAGGAGTCAAACTGGGGTTGACTATGTGGGAGTCCAGTGATGTAACCATTACGCCATCTGTTGGTCCCAACACCAACCCTATTACACGTGTGGAAGGGTGGTGGCTACCTAGGAGTTTGAAGGACAGAAATATTAAAGAGTACTAATAAAAGATGAAGACTTTGCTCATATTAACATTGGCCTGCTCTAACTAAGGAGGTTAGAGTAAAATGACCACACACAGAAGTAGGTCAATATCAGGACCATCTGCTCTTTAAAAGTAATTCTAAATACTACCTTCTAAAACAATCGGGATGGCAATTCTTTTTTTTTTTTTTTAATCATATTATTAAACAGATGGGAAGAGAACAAAAAAGAATCAAAGCATTTGGCCCACAAAAAAACAAACAAGGAAAAACTTACCTAGGCAACAGAGGGACGATAATATTCTGGGAAGACGATCAGTCATAAATCTTTATGTCACAGCCAAATGATTACATATTACTTTGGGAAGAAAAGAGAAAGGAGGAGGGGAGGGGGCCAGAGAGATGACGGAGAGGGAAAAAGAGGGGAAAGAAGGGAGCTGTTTGCTAAATATAAAAATCAAATTTTGATCAGTGAGTTATATATTTAAAACTTTCATCTAAATAGAAGATATAAAAATCTCGGCCAAAAATGCACACTCTCAAAACTAGAGAAATAGGACCAGCAGTTAGTATAATGGCTATGTCACTGGACTCCATGTAGTCAACCGCGGTTCGTGTCCTGGACCCGGTGGCTTAAAACTCATGCTGGGCTCGTGTGCCCAAGATCCCAAAAGGAGAATAGAGGAGAAGGGACTGCGGCGTGGCAAGTGATTTCTCGCTTTCTGTCTCTCTGTCTCTCTCTGTCTGTCTGGTGAGCGCACGCACACTATAGCACAAACCTCTCAAAAAAAGAAAAAAAAAAAAGAAATAAACTAGAGAAGACCCAGACGAAGATCATCGTAGCTGCTAAAATCTTTAGGTGAAAGTTGTTGGGGACTGGGATATTCAGAATTTCAGAGTACACATATTATTTATTATTCACGAGTAGGAAAAGGTACATTGCAGTGGGTAGAGTTGGCAGAGAACACCAAGTGATCAAACGTCCCCTCTCACTGACACGCTGACATCATGTACCTCCAGATGTGACGTGCTGAAAAGAGTACACAAATTTAATCTTGAAGAAACAATTAGGAAAACCAAACTTTGAGACTCTCATAAACAGACAAAAAGAAAAGAGAAAAGTGAAGACCTGGCCTGGTGGCACAGTCCACAGCAAACTGAATGTGGAGCTGGAAGCCACAGAGCCAACTGCAGGTTCGGAAACCCCAGTTATCTGAAAACACACCAGGTACAGATCCATGGTGCCCAAGATCCTAACAATCTGGAGGGCCAGGGAAATGGGAGTGTGGCATGATGAGACTGTGTTGAGGGCGCAGATCCCTCTCTGTCATACACACGCATGCTCTCTATGATGAACATAATAAATTAAAAAAAAAAAAGAAAAAGGTGGTGCACCTGCCCCTAGGGCAATAGTTAAGAGTTGTGTGGAGGGAGCCAGATCCCACGTGGTCAACCATGGTTTGAATCCCAGCCCTGGTGGCTTGTGAAATACACCAAGTTGGGGCCAGCCAGTGGTGTAGTGATTAAGGTGGTTGGATCCCACATGCCTAACCATGTGGTTTGTACTAGTCCTGGCAGCTTGAAAAGCACACTGGATGTGTGTGTGTATGCCTCAAATCCACAGAGGAGAATAGAGGAGAAGGGATGGCAGCATGGCTATCCCTGCTGAGGGTGCTTTCTTTCTTTCTTTCTTTCTCTCCCTGTTCTTCCTCTCTCTCTCTCTCTCTGGCAAGCACATGCACCCTAATGAAAATTAAAAGAAAAAAATTGGGTTCATGTGTGTGCATGCCCCAAATCCTAATAGGATAGAGAAATGGAGAAAAAAGGATTACAGCACGACAATGCCCCATAGCGGAGTACTTTCTCTCTCTCTCTGGCAAGAATGTGCACACTGTAGCAATAAAAAGTAAAAATAAAACTTTTTAAAAGCTGAAATTGTCCTAGATTAAAGGAAGCTAAAGAAACATGATAACGGGGCCGGCAGGTGGCATGCTGGTTAGGGGTGCTGGATTTCCAGCCGGACCTAGCGGCTCTCCCTCTCTCTCTCTCTCTTTCTTTCACTCTGCCCCTCTCTGGTCAAATTAAAATAATAAATAAATAAATAAAGTAAAATAATTCTTAAAAAAAAACAAACAAAAATGATAACAAAAAGGGGGGGGGACATGATAATTACCATGAGCAAAATGTAAGAAAAAAAAAATACAAGCTTCAAGTACGTTATTGGGGCAATTAAGAAAATCTGAATATGGTTTATATATGAGGTATCATTGTATTGATACCATCTAAAAAAACAAACAAAAATGATAACAAAGGGGGGGGGACATGATAATTACCATGAGCAAAATGTAAGAAAAAAAAAATACAAGCTTCAAGTACGTTATTGGGGCAATTAAGAAAATCTGAATATGGTTTATATATGAGGTATCATTGTATTGATACCAAATTTCTTTTTATTTTTCTGAGTAGGTTTTTGCTATAGTGCGTGTGTGCTTGCCAGAAAGATAGAGACAGAGAGACAGAAAGCAAGAAATCACCCCCCACGGGAGATGGCCATACCACAATCCCGTCTCCTCCATTCTCCCCTCGGGATCTTGGGCACACACACACACACGCACCCGGCGTGAGTTTAAGCCACCGGGTCCGGGACTCCAACCACGATCGACTACATGGGAGTCCTGCGACATAGCCATTACACCAACCGCTGGCCCCTTGAGAGTGATAACGGCAATGAGGTTATATAGGAGAATGCCCTTGTTCTTAGTAGATACATATAAACATATTTAAGGGTAAAATGTCATGATGCCGGCATGCTGGCAACTTAGGTACTTTCAAAAAGGAGAAAAGG